ACAAAACAATTACAACAAAATTTATTATTTACATACATCAAATATCTAAACCTAGAAAACATTTATATATGATGAGCACTTATGTCGGAATAAAAAAAATTTAAAAAATATCAATATTTTACTAATATTTAAATAAATGAAATATTTCATTAAATGTAATTTCTAACCTAAAATTTACCTCTGTTCAGGTTATGAAAACAATGTTATATTATGATTAATATATAAATATATGCATACATATATAACATGATAAAGACAACAAAAAAAAAACACAGATTATTGAAGAAAATTAACAAAAATACTAAGTCTTAATAATAAGGTGTAAGTAGATAAGTTTAAAATTTAGAAAAAAAAAACATGGAAAAGAACTTAAAGATTTAACACACTCAGAGATATTTTTTATTTATTTATAAAATAACATTCACATGATTTAAAATCACGTGTCGCGATTCTTATTTATGCTATATAAAATCGCTCATCGTGTTTCGCATTTTCACAATTTTATACCAAATATCCCATTTCGTATTCCCACGGTTTAAAAGCCACTATTCTGATTCATGTTCAAGTGACTTAAAAATTACACAACGGAATCCCTATTCATAAGATTTTAGAATAAAGCACTGAGATATGTATTCACACGATTTTAAAATCAAACAGTGAGATTCGTATTCACACGATTTTATAATAGAACAGCGATATTTGTATTGCAACTTTAAAATTGAATGTTCAGATTTGTAATCGCATGAATAAAAAGTCACACATTGAATTTCACAATCACACAATTTAAATAAATAAAAAATATCCATCGATATTTTTATAAAAACGCTGATGACATTCTGTTTATAAATATTTCTTAGATACACTTTCTTCTTGATTAAATTTCAGGTATTTTTTAAATTAGTTAAAAAGTGTTTTTGCATATAACATTTTTGGATTTCTATTTTCAGCTTCTCTGGTTCTTTACCAAACTCATCCCTGGCAGGCCCGTAGCCAAGGGGGGACGGTAGGACAAATCCCCCCCCCCCTGAAATTCTGGGAATCAAACATTTTAGTCTTTCTTTGAGCCTCGCAATAAAAAGAAAAACAAAAACTTCCTAATCAAACCTTTTATTAACTAACTTTATTAAGCATATTTCGGGACATTCCGGTTTGTCCTAAGAAAGTAATCGAAAAATTTTCTTCAAATCCCTGTCGCATGTCTTTGTAAACTTTGCTTACAAATTGAGTATAATTATTATGCAATATTAATTGAAAAATAATTATTATGTAATATTTTTTAATTATTAGTTTAACTTTTGCAAACAACAGAATAAACAATATTTGTTACAATGTTTTTCCCCTACTTTGCATACCTGAAACTTTCCCCCCGAAAAAATATCCTGGTTACCGCCTTGCCCTAGGGTATGAATTAATACAGAGATCTATAAAAATGAAACATTTTTTAAAAAGATCTCTGATTTTACAAGCGAATTTACCAGAACGATCTGGTGACGAAAAGATTGAAACTAATTACAAGAGTTAATCAATGTGAGCAGAAGGTTTTATAGTTAAAATTTTAGCAAGATTTAATGTTGCAAATTTTTAATTTTATCTAAGTCTGCATAAACACAAATATAATATTTATAAGTATAGTATAACTATAATAAGATCACAAATATAACAATTAAATTTATGTTGATAATACATGCATGCTCTTTGACTAACAAGCATTACTAGTATTAACTAAATAATAAGTTTCACCAAGTCAAATAAACCACTAAAAATAAGGTCTCTAATGCGAATTAAATCTGCTTTTAATGCATTTTCCTGAAGCAAATTTAAGAAAAATTTAAAAAAAATCTGGTCAATAAATAAGGCTTTTAGCTTTTAACTAGATTTAAAAAAAGTCACACCCAACTTTAGGAATTGGTTTTTAAAAAAGTTATAGATATGAATATCACAACATTGGTATCAATATAAAATAGCTGCGTCATAGCTTTTGATTAAATATTATTTGACCTGTCAACAAGAAATTAATTAATCATGTGAAAAAGTACAAAAGTTTTTGACATCTCCAGATTCAACGAAAATACATTTTAGGAAATTTGCCCTAAGATAAACATTAAATAACATAAGAGTAAAAAGGAATTAATTGTAAGTATAACATTTGATAAATGAACAAAAAATAACAAATGAGTAAATATTTTATTTTTGTAAGTTTATTTGTGAGTATTTTATTTACATAACAACCAATGATTTTCAACTTATAAATGCCAAAAAAACAGCGGAAAAAGATACAGCTTTAAACACAAATAAAAATAACAGTTAATTTTGTAGTACACACCTGGTTTTTGCATGACTAATATTCGACAATATTGAGCATATTAAAAATTAAAAAGCCGACAGTTATTCTTGATCAAAGCAAGAGCAATCGCTTTAATCCATCCAGAGATAAAAGAAGATTTACAGTTAAGACCCGGTGTACAACCGTCGAACCAAGTTTCGATTTGGGATATAGAACTAAAGCCCAAACAAAAATATAAAAAGTGTAATTTTGCAAAAACAAGTTTTAATATATATTGAGTGTTAAACTGATCTTCAAAAATAATTTTGATTATAACTTTGAATCAGCTACTGATTGAATAAAAATTTAAATATTTTTAGGACGTGGAACTTAAACCATTCTCATTGCTTCCGATTCACACATAGTCCCACAGTGGACTGATCGTTAAGACACAGTTCTCAACAGATCACCAAAGTCAAGCATCATTCGCTGCGGTCCGTGTGCGCGTGAGTGACCACTTGGATTAATCTGCGTAGGGACCAAGGGTGTGCGGTATTGGCCCTCGCTAACGTCGGACTACCGAAGCGGGGGTGCCATCCCCCTGCAGAGGATCAAAATTGTGATGGCATGTCTTCGCATCATCCTCAGGGACGTTTCCCAGACCATCGCCTATAGACCATTGTCAAGATCTAGTGCGACGTAAATGGTCACAACAAATGAACTACAACAACAATAACAATGGTTCACGCAGGCTGGATATTTTGGATAGCTCAGTGTTTGGCGCGAAGTGCAACTAACTGATTCATCAAATCTGTGTTGTCCCAATAAACTTATGCTAATTATGATTCACNGAAAAAATAATTGTATTAATATTGCTTAAATTTGTATTTTGATTGTTGTTATTTTTATGATTATTGAAACATTCAAATGTCAGAATATTTCAATGGGGGCCGGGATGTCCACGCCCTCATTGGCGAAATTGTAATGCGCCAAGCGTAGCTTTCTAGCGTTCTTTTCTCATTCAATAAAAAATTACCAAACGTTACAGTCCACTTGACTCTAATAGCTCCGACAGTCTCGTCTCGATCACGCACAACGTTGACTTGCATATACTCGACTGCTAACGGCAACACAGGAGCGACTACGATCGTGAAGATAATACACCTCTCACATTCAGCTCTCAAAAAGTACGGTGATCTTAATACAGCTCTCCCGGCTTCTCACAAAACAGCAATGAATCAACTAGTAGTATCCGTTTATCGAATTCTATCACGGATATAATTCTGGTGGGGGAGTACCGTAGGGTATCTACCACTACAAAATTGCAATTCACTAGACGTGTTAACTCGATTCCATGATGGGGTACCTTTTCGTAGATGACGGTTGACATTATCGATAACTACCCCACAATCTGCAGCTCTCAGAAGAGCGTGAATCCCTGCGTGTACACTGTACAGACAGTTTTTTCTCTGGATGGATTAACGCGATAGTACAGAGAATCACCTTTTCCTCTCCTCAGGTCGTACCGCTTAATCTTAAATGTCTCTCACAACAGTATGATCGTAAAGACACGGTTTTCAGTAAAACAATGCTAGCACCAAAGCAATAACACAAAGTATCACCGACAGCGGGTAGGTGTCCACTTTGCGCAGGATGCTCAATGCGAAATTTCAAAACATTCGTACACTTTCGATCATTGTATGGCGTTCCGCATCAATATTATAGGTAGCAATCGTTCTTATAGCCTGTAATATTTTTAGCATGTGTTTGAGAACCTGATTACCGAATTATTCGCTTATTTATTTCACCAATAAAGTTCTCATTTGCATTCGATTTTCCGCTAGCCCGCCCCCCAGACCGTTATTGTGACATTCACGCTCTTCATTCGTTGTTCCCACTAGTTCGTTCAGAAGGCGTTACTGAAGCTCAAGTGTACCATTAAAAAAGACCTACAGGAAACTAGGTATTGTGAGTACGTGGATTACCTGTACGTACAATCAAATGCATGTATTGAATTACTTCTTTCAGAAAGCAAAGGGATGGCATTGGCATAAGAATGGCTCGAAACAGTATGCGCGTGAGCTCGTATTGTAACGATGGGAAATGAATCCCCCCCCATAGAGCCCTATCATTTTCACCAGTTTTCTTTCCTCGTGCCACCATTTTTAAGAAACGATTCCTGCATCATCAGTAACAGTACTTCAAACTAGAGCTGCACTATGGATTGTTGGCGACACATCCGAAGTCTAGTGCTGCACAATAAAACAATTTAACGAGGTTTGATACCAAGCACCCTTGGTGCTTTCTTAGGATCATCTAAGTAGTCCCCACCAGCTCAATGACCGCTGTCAGTGATGATAGACAACAGCAATCTACTGGAAACCATGCTAGTCCACTGTGAGACTATTCTACATCACCATTGCTTAATTAATTGAAAATTTTGAAACTGGTTTCAAAAGCAAAATTGAGAGCCATATTTTCCAAAAAATCTCAAATGGAATCAATCCTATAGTTTTATTTCACCTAGTAGCCTAGCACCATATGCAAATTTTTTTGGCATTAGTTAAGTTATTTAAAACTATTTTTTTTTTAAAGAAGTTATGAAATTAGTCACAACTCAAAAACGAGTATTGAATATAAATGAGTAATTTTTTATTTTTTAGTGAAGTATTCACTTCTATGAAGGAAAGTATGGAATAATGGTGAAAAGTGTAAAACATTTTATTTAAAAATCAGATTTTATTAAAATTAAATTTTTATTCACGAAGTCTTCTTAAAGTGTCTCTTTTACAGAATCAAATGAGAAAACAAAGAAGCTCTATACATATTTTTCAACATTAATTGGATAAGGAAAAAATTCTATAAAATTGAAACTGACAGCTTTTTATTTCGTCAAACAAACAAAAATTAGATACAAATTTATCTAGAATACAAAATTCCTTAAAATAAATGTTCCATAATTATATATCATTGCTGCCAACTCAGAGTTCTTTAAACATAACTTGATATAGAATGCATACATATTAACAATATTTACTTTATTTGATTAGATATACATGCAATTAATATGCAGGAAATCATAGTGAAGCTTTCCTATATTATCTGTTTAACATGCAACCAGGATATCTTTTAATAATCAATAATATTAACTCAAAAGTATTCATAATATTTCAGACTGAAATTTTTATAGATAATATGTGTCTGAAAAATAGATGCTAAAGTAAGAAATAAAATAAATCCTTTAAAAAGAAAAATATTGCTTTTTATTTCAACTCCAAAAAAATATTTTCCACTTGAGGAAAAAGAAAATTATTGCATTGAAATATTGATTCTATAGAAACAGAATTTCTTCCCCCTGCAATGGAAAATTTTTCTTGTTAAAATTGCTAATATATTTAGAAAAGTCCAAAGCATTTTTTTTTTTTAAATTTTTTTATTTTTATAAATGGTGTTATTTATATAAAAACAAAATTTGTATTCACTATGTAAGCAAAAGAGGTTTAAAGCTTGGTTTCTATTTTGATAACTAATTTTGAATATAATTTAGCAAAATAGTACTAATAATCCAATTATCTTATAAAGAGTAGAATAAATTTATATAGGAAAAGATGCACAATGGCACATGAAGATATAATTTTTAGAGAAGCCCAGAATAATTTAAAATTCACCTTTTCAAAAACATCTGCTCACACAAAGTAATACAGATTTTGCAGAGTTAAAATAGCACCATTTTTAAAAGTTTGACCTTTGAAAACGTACAAGAAATGTTAATATTTAAATTTTTTTTAAGACACTTGCAGGAAAAGAATATCTTGTGTTCATGTTTAACATAAAGTGAATTTAATTTTTTTCTAGGATTGTAAAGATGAGAAATTTCTAAACTAACACGAGAAGTTTGAAAAATTATAGAGTTGGTAGCTATGATATAAAAACTTTACAAATTGTAAAACATAAATTATTGTAAACATTAATAAGCACACAAATCATAACTTAATGATTAAAAAATTTTTTTTTTAACATAGCAATAATTTTATTACCATATACAAGTTTTCATCAATTATCAATAATTTGAACAGTAGCCGTGAGAAAATGTATGGAAAAAACTGCTACAATCAATTACATGTGCCTTTGTTTCATAATATCTACAAGTATATGAAAAAGAGAACAAAAGGCACAACTTTAAGTATCATTCGCAATTTGCGTGCTAATGCTTGTGAAAACTTATTACTTTATCTTTTATGTTGGTTAAAGCCAATTACTTGCGTTTACTAGTACCTTGCCATTTTATTTATTTATTTATTTTTGTGTAATTAAGAACAATCTGCAGCGTCCACACATAACAGTGGAGGGAGAGACCAACAAGGTAGTGTAAAGCATTAATATACAAAAAGACTTTATTATTGACTCCAGTAGTCCAACTTGGGCAAATAAATACCAAGCACACGAGAATGCCTGGCAACAAACAGTCGTTTAGAACCCTTTTCATATAGTATATGTGCACTTAATGCTAAAATGCAGAGCCCTCTGGTGGTTGACTTAGCCTTTGATTTTCTTTTAAAGTCATTGCTCTGCGAAGCTCTTGAAGAACTGTTTTAATTGAATAATTTCTCTGCCAGTGACTTAATACAGGCAAGGTTCTTCTATCCACCTATAAATAAAAATAATAAATCAATATTATACTTTTTTCTATATTTGTTAAATGAATTTTTTTCTTCTTTTAGAATAACATAGTAACAGAAAGAATTTGTACGAAATGTATGCGATGTAACAATTGTAAGTTTTAATTTTTCCCCTTTAATAAAGTCTATTTCCTTATACAGTAAAAAAAAAGAGAAAAAAGCTTAAAAGTAACTTTTGTAATGATCAGATTTTCATAAACTGAGTACCAATTTATAGTTTTTGGATGAAGAACTTGTTTATAAAAAGTAAGAAAGGGCAAATTTTGTTCCTGTTCTCAAACGGGTATTTTTCTCTAATGAAGAATGACGTGTAGTATACAACTTAATTAGTTAAATTGTTTTTAAAAAATTTAAAGGTTTTTATAATGTAATAAATTTAAATTTCAGAATCCATCATGTACAATAACTATTTCGCAAATAATTATTTTCAAATCCCAATTTATAATTAATAAAATAAAAAAATTATCACAAAGCAACGTTTTTTGTTTTGTTTTTAATGATATAGAATATAAAAGTAAATTGGTTTACTAAAAATCACTGGATTTTAAAATCTAACCTACAAGAAATCGTTACAGTTTCAAAACATGTTTAAATCATCCTTTAATAAAAAATCCTTATAACCGATTTAAAAAATTGAGCTTTTGAAGGGCATCTGAGTGTTAGTCTTGGCTTTTTCCAAACTTTCAGGCGCAGGTTTTCTTGTATCAAAAAATCTGTGCCTCCAAGTTATTGAATAGGTAAATAATATGAAACAGATGGTTTTTTTTACCAAGGAGCTTAACGTTTTAACGGTTAAAAAAAAAAAATAAATAAAAAAAATAAAAAAAAATTTTGTTCAAAGTGTACTTAGAATTTTCAATAAGTCTCAGTTCAAAGTGTACTAAGAATTTTCAATAAGGTAGAGGATTCAAACAGCAACTTAAAAAAAAAAAAAAACTTAAAAAAGCCAACAAATGTGGATTACACTTTTTGAAAAATTGATGGGAAGTCTTAAAAATCAATGAAGGGAATGTAGAAGAATCCTAATGAAAACCGATTATCAATTATGGAAAGTTATTAAATGCTCATCATTTAACATCAATGACCATTTTTTATTTTTCAACTCTCTCAATTAAGAAGCTACCAAGTAGGGTTGAAAAGTAATTCACAAATGTAAGTAAAGGTAAGGAATAGATTAAATGATTTGTTCATACCATGAGATAAACCATATTAAGAGATACTCATTATTCATTACATCAAACGGAAAAGAAAGTGAAGATAGAATATTAAACTAATCTTGGCTCATATTCTTTTATAAATTAGCTATGAATTACGGTTTTGGGTACATTTTTACATTTATTTTGAGCTAAATTTGATTGCTAGAATCATGCCAAAATGGAAAGATTTGAGTGTCAAGGAAAAATTTGAAAGGTCTTTAAAATTCAAAAGCTTATATAAAATTCCAAACGATAAGTGGTGGGCACTACTGTATATGTTGTAATATAGATAGAATCTTGAAATTTTATAAATGTTGAAAAGGTCATCTAGATATTGCTCACGTGTAATATTTGCACCTTTATAATATGACAATGGAGGAGTTTTTTAAAATATTACTTTTAGATAGGAATGAAAAAAAGGTCAAATAAAATACTTATTTACATTGCTAGTAAAAAGCAGAAAAACAGGAACATAAAATTCATTCGGAACAAATCCATGAGTTAAAAGAAAGCAGCACAAATGTTATGTTAATGTTCTATAATACAAATTATAATAAATTTTTTAAACTAATATTTTTAACATTTAATATGCATAGCTGCCAACCTCTAGTTATAAAAATGCAGAAGATAGACAAATAAAATGCAGAAGAAATGAGTAAAAATGCAGAAGATTCGCAAGCACATACTAATTACCAATAAATTTATAAAAGAAGCGGATTTTAATTATTTTAATTAATTATTTATTTATAAATCCACTTAATATTAGCAACAAAAAAAGCAATACTCATCTTTTTTTAAAACAAAAAAGGAAACATCTTTTAAAAAAACTTTCGACCAGCTACTTGATGGTACAATATTCGATTATAAATGTAGTTACGGCCCTGCCAAACGCTGTTACAAGAGGAACAGCGACGTCTGACTTAAAGAAAATACTAGCTATCAGGCAGATGGGTAAAATGCAGAAGATCTTATCTTCTTGCGCATAAAAGAGGAAAAAATAGCTAAAATAAGTAAAAATGCAGAAAGCTTCTGCAAAATGCAGAAGGGTTGGCAGCTATGAATATGCCACTCTAAATTTAAACTAATCTTTACATACAAATATAGAGACCTCCCTGGGAATTTAAAAAAAAAAAAAAAAAAGACAGGGGGCTTCCTTATAGAAAAATGCACTTTTGAAATTTGAAAAGGCCCTACTTAACACCGTAAAAATTCATCAAAATAATTAATATTATGTGATAACTGAATTTGATTCTGAACAATTTTGAAATTACCCTCTTATGCTATTTTATCTGTGTATTTCAGAAAAGTAATTCTCAGTCATTATCAAAATAAGAGAAAATTTTGTATTTTATAAAAAATAATTAAAAGCATGTTAAAAGATAATCACTGTGCACTGCGTTTCTTCAACAAATATATATATACACACTTTTTACAAAAAAACGAAGATTAATACTTTTTTCTACAATTTAAACTGAAAATTATGAGAGAAGGAAAATTTAAAATCACTAAAAAAATTTGATAAAATGCCCCCGAAAAAAGAGAAATTTATAAAAATTAATCCAGCTGAGAATAATCCAAACAAAATAAACATTTGTAATAGTAATCAGAATTAAACCTATAAATGCAGATAATTTTACCACCATGAAATTACTATTTAAACAGTCAATTTTTTTTAAAATGAAACATAAATAAAAGCACTGTGTCATGCCTCCATATATGTTTTTACTGAACGTTTCATACTGCTATACGTTTGTATAATATTACATTGTGTTTCTATGTTAGTATTAAAAAGGTTGTTCATAATTTTTTTATTGAATGTCCCATATTATACTTTTTTATGCTTGTNGCAGATAATTTTACCACCATGTAATTACTATTTAAGCAGTCAATTTTTTAAAAATGAAATATAAATAAAAGCACTGTGTCATGCCTCCATATATGTTTTTACTGAACGTTTCATACTGCTATATGTTTGTATAATATTACATTGTGTTTCTATGTTAGTATTAAATGGTTGTTCATACTTTTTTATGTAGTATTGAATATTTTATATTAAATAGCTTAATGGTACACTTATTGAATGTTTTACACTACAACATTTTATGATGTTTGTCATGCCTCCATGTTGTGATGGCGCTGTAAAGGTGGATTTTGTAAATAAAGATAGGAGCTCGCACGAAGTGTCGGTGGTGTAAAGACGTTCTTTTTGTAGTAGTCTAATTATTGTTCGGACAGTGTTATATCACACAATGTTTTTAAGGGATTGTGGTTTATTATTACAAAAAGGGCACAGAAATAGCATCAAAGGATAGACCATCCTTCTAAAAAGGCTTAGGGAGAACACTGTACAATAGAGAGTAAAATATATACCTAATTCAAATTGAAGCAATAAAGAAAAACAATGTAAATAAAAATATGGCCACCGAACGTAACGTCTTCAGGGGGTACCAGCTTCGGAAGCTATAGAGCAATACCTTTTCTATTGAGAGAGCCAAACAAGTGTCAAAATTTGTTCCCTCAGTACCCCGAAGGTTTTGCATAAGTCCAGGAAAAATACAAGAAATACATAAAATCAAATCAGAAGAGAAATTTCTAACAAAATCTTGAAAATGCAGTCAGACCTTGATATAAGGTCACTTTTCCAAAGTCCTGGCTGACTGAATAGGAATTCTTTGTTACAGATTATCGGATATATGGTCAATTTTATCTGAGGGGAGCTCTTTTCTAACAAAAGCCTATTTAACTTTTTTCCCTTCTTGAGTTCTATGAAAATGTTGCAACCAACGAACAAGCTACAATTTCTGAAATTGTTTCACAGTTAGGACAATGACAGTGATCCTGAGACTGTAGCTGTAACCCAAGCGGAAGCCTTCAATACAATAAATGTCATACGATATTTTTTTACAAACCATGAGAGAACTGAGGAACTTTGAGAAGTTACAAAATCCAGAAAACATTGTTCGAAAAATGAAACCAAAAATGAGGCAGACCTGCATAAATGATTTATTTTAAATAAAGTCAGATGTAATGTATGTATGTACACTTTGAGAAAATTTTTAAACAGCTTTATTTAAAAAAAAATTTTTTTTTTAAATCTAACTTTCTGTACTAATTCTGTTAAAATTTATTATTCCTTAATATTTAACTTAAATATTTAATTTATGGTCGATCATTTTCGTTTGTACTACCATTTTTAAAAAGTCACCGTGTGTACTATTTACGTGCTTAGTTACGAAACTGCTAATGAATCGGTCAAAAGATCACCCCGTTTATAAGGTCACTTTTGCGATGTCCCTTAGGGTGACCTTATATCGAGGTCTGACTGTATAATACAAAAACACTCAGTAAACTGGTCAAACAGCAATTTCATGAAACAAACTCAATGTAAAAGAAACATTTGAAATAAAGAAAACAATGTCCTCTATTAAAATGGGCAGTAGAAGAAAAAAAGGACAGGGAAGAAAGGTTGTCTAAAGTTGTAAGAACTGCACTCATGCAAGTTTGTCATGTACTAAAATAATATTTTACCTTATTTGAATGGAGACATAAAATAAAAATATATCATATTAATACTAAATATTTAAATTAATAAATACTAAATAATAATTTCAATTAGCAATAGTTTTTAGTTATATTTGTGCACAGCAAGATAAAGGGCTTTGGATGGCAGCAAAAAATCTGTAGCAAGGCAGAGGACATTGCAGGTTATCACAGCATCATCTTTCCTTCCAGATTTTTTTAAAATTGAAAAAATTTCAGAGGGAAAATTTATTTTTAATTTTTAAATTTACTCAATAACTAGCAGTTTTAATTCATTAATAATACTTGTTTGCTAATCTGCAGACAAAGTAAATCGATTATTCTAAAAACTTCTGATAGATTTCATTAAATTAAAGTTAGAAAAAAAATAATATTTAAAAACAAGAAATAATCAAAATATTTTTTCTTGTAAATTTCTAAAACCTTGGTTATTTGCTCACAGGTTGCTTTAAGATTTATTCCATTTTTTAAAAGTCTTGAAGTATGTAAAAGTAAATTAAACAAACAAACTTTTAACACAATTTCTTGGTTGCTAGAATTTTTATCTGCATTCTAAATATGCAAATTTTACTATATACATGCTAGATAAAGCTTAATTTTTATACTAATAATCTGTGATTAGGCTAGAGAGGCTGACAAATTTACATTTATGAAGATTGTGCTACAGATTTGCTCAGTTAATTTTGCTATCAGAGGCATTTGTTCTCAGTAAAATTTGGTTTTAATTCATCATATTCTATCATAAATTACATGATTTTCATTTAGCAAAACTTTTACATACATTTATTTTCCAATAGTAGATTATCTACCTTATCTAGGGCATGAAATTTTATAACAACCTTTCAAACTTATTTCTATAAAATAGGAAATATATTAAAATTAAAACAACTAACTCCAAACATTTCAATAATTTGCTTACAACAAATTTCAATAATTTGTTTACAACAAATTTCAATAATTTGTTTACAACAAATTTCAATAATTTATTTGTCCATTATTTCCTTTTTTTTAAAAACTTTCTTTAACCAAAACATAATTTTGACAAAAAAAAAAAAAAAAAAAAAAANAAAAAAAAAAAAAAAAAAAAAAAAAAAAAAAAAAAAAAAAAAAAAAAAAAAACAGCTGGAATGTTACGCAATTTGACATTGAATGGCAAAGACTTTTTTTAATGAAATAAGAGTATAAAAACAATAACAAAATGTAACATTTGATTGGTTTAAAGATTAATCTGTATATTTTTACAATGATTATATACTTACAATTCCAGAGTCACTAACACCAGTCATCTTAATTTTTGAAATAAATCTAACACTTGGTGGTTCATCAGGATATTGAAGTCCACATTCAACTTTCAAACTGTAAATCCTGTTCTCGTATGGGGTCTAAAAAATATAGAAATAAAAATAGTATATTGCCTAGAGGATAACTGATGCAATGTTTTTAATAATTTCCAAATTAAAACATGAGGATAATATTTCAAGAGAAAAAATTTGCATACTTAGAAATAGGAGAGCAAATTATTGAATAATAGAGTAAGACAATTCCTTCATTATCAGATAAAACGGAAAACTTTCTGCAAGCACTAACTCTCAACTAAAAAACTTTCTGCAAGCTTTGATTAACACATGTAAATACTTTCAACCCTAGCTTACCACCTCATTTTGGAACAATTCGTTTGAAAAGAACGTATTAAAAAATAATAATAATTTTTATAGAATTCTATATAGATTCATATCACAGAGACGAGTTTGGTAAACAAAAAAGCTGAAAAAAGATATCTTAAAATATTATATGCAAAAACACTTTTTAATTAATTGAAAAAAATACATAAAATTTGAGCAAGAAAAAGGTGAATGTAGAAAACATTTATACACAGAATGTTATCAACTTTTTAATGAAAATACTGATGCATGAATTTATTTATTTTGTTTAAATTGTGTGAATGTGTAGAAATTTAGTGAACACAAATCTTGACATTTGGTTTTAAAACAGGGTTGGCTAGTTTTGACAATTGGCAGTTTTATCCGGTTTTAACTGTGTGTAACATGCCAAAAAACCCTTTATGACAAGTGTCAAAAACAATTTCTTTTAATTAATTGTAAGGACAATTACTAGCTATTATAAACAAAAAGTATTTGCAATAAAGTATGGATTAAAATTTCCCAAAAAATTTTACCTTTAATAAAAAAAAAATTATAATTTAAAAAAAAAAAGCTTGTAAAAGAAAAAGTGAAGCGAAAAAGAAAAGAATATTTGATTTTACACAATTTGAATTGAGGATATGTGTTATAAAATAATAGAAATCAAAATATATTGAAATAGTAATAAATTATTCAATTAAATTTAAGGTCTCACTTATAAACTAAAGGAATTTGAGCTAATTAAAATACAAATTGACATAGGTTTTTTTAACAAGAAAAAGTTTGCAAAGCGACACTTTTCTTTAACAAAAAACTTTGTAGGAATTTTTTAGACCGAAAATTTTCCCATGGCTGTCCTAATTTCCTCCAGAGTCATGTTCCTGCAGTCGGACAAATTCTGCTCATTTGAATGTAATTAATAACAAACATTAAAAATCAATAAAAAAAAATTATATCTTGAGATCAGATAATTGATGGTGCTCACTAATTTTATTGAATATCAAACATCTGCCTAATTTACAACATAAAAGAATTAAAATCAATATTTATTTTGATATTAATTAATAACTCAGAGTTCTTACCTGAAATATAAAAGGAATAGTTGTAATATGGATCTTAAAGATGTAATAGTTGTAATATGGGTCTGCATATTACACTGGTCCAATTATTGTAAATGTCAGATTGGCAGACTTTTAATTTCATATAATGCAGTTAAAAAATATCATGCTGTTCAACTAATTATTGTTAAAATAACTGTTTGTATTATTAGCACTAAAATTTTTATTAACTTTCAAAAATGCACAAATTAAAAAATAAAAAATTAAAAACTTTCTGTTAAGAATGTATCAATGTGTGAAAAGATATTCAAAGTATTTACAAGATTTATTCTTTTATTATTCCTATCATTCTCTACAAATAGGCTATTTTTAGGTACTGAAAAAAAAAAAAAATTTCAGAAATTTTTAGCTTTTTATATAAAATACAACAGAAGGAGCTAGAAAAGAACAAACCTAGCAGTCAGGCTTAACATGAAAAATAAATAAATAAATAAAATAAAATTATTTAAAGTTTTTATTTAAGTGAGAGCAAAAATAATTTCAGTAGTAAACATGTTTAAAATAATTTTAATGAATATATATTAGTACTTGCCAGTCTTAACTTTACAAAAGTGTCATTTTGTTACAGTGAGGCACAGACAATAGTGAAGATATGAGAAAATAAGATTTGCTTTAGAAGTTTACACCCATAAATAAAATCAAAACCATAACATCTATTGTAAAAAGAAAATTAGAACACCTTGTAATTTACATAAGTGCTCACCATGAGAGAATGATAAAACAGGGAATGAGAAAATATGCATTATTTGCTCCAGGGTTGGCAAGGTTTAGGACAGAATGGATTAATCCACAGTTTAAACTGTCCCGTCCAAAACCCTTTTGCTCAAATTATGTCACAATTTCACCTGAACAATATTTACAAGGTAAAATAAACATAGAACTAATAACATATTGATAATTAAATCTACTAGAGAGTATTTGTTTTGAAAACTATACTGTTTTATTAATATTGTTTGACTCTTCAATTTAAACATTAAACAAAGGAAGATTAATCAGTAATCAAGTTAAATTGGTCCTCTCATTCAATAGTACATAACTGAAGTTTGACCTTGCCATACAGATTAAGCTATTAGGGACTAAGTGCTTGGTAAGTCATAAACAGGTTTATTACTGTTCAAGAATACTTTTATTTCATTCATGTTCAATTCTTTTAGCATAGTGCTGATACATCACTAGTGGCAGAAACTGATGTTATGCCCTTCAATACTGCTAATACATTTTTCAGTTATTTTGTATTTCCAATTTAAACTAATATATTTATATTTAAAAACATTTTTTTTTTTAATTAGATGTCTTTTTTTATCATCCTGTAATGCAGAAATTATAAANCAGTAACTGAAACTGATGTTATGCCCTTCAAAACTGTTAATACATTTTTCAGTTATTTTGTATTTTCAATTTAAACTAATATATTTATATTTAAAAACAATTTTTTTTTAATTATATGTCTTTTTTTATCATCCTGTGATGCAGAAATTATAAAATTTTGTTAAAAAAATATTGTGAAAAATAAAAGGACAAATTTAGTACTTTTTTTAAAAAATTATTATTATTTTTTAAATATTGCATTTTTTATCAGTATTAAAAGCATATTTATATTTAAAGGATTAGGTATTCACTTTTGTTGTTCAATGAATTGTGGAGCTTCAAGAATTATAAACCTTTTCCTATCATATTATATTACTTTCCTTTAATAAGCTAAAGTAAATTGTATAAAAAATATCAAAATATTTACTGATGCATGTAATTATTATGTGTACTATGGTTAACACCTATAGAATTTTTACCTTTTAACAAAGTTCAAGGTTTTGGACATTGCTCATTTATTAACACATTTTTAGAAAATAAATTAACTTCATAAATTTAAATGAGGAAAAGTGCGTGTCATCTTAATAGTTATTCAATTTGCTCATTCAGTTCCTTCACACATGCTAAAGAGCTTCTCCCAATGTACTGAAATTTGTTTCAGTTTTATCAGTACATGTTCTCAGTGCACAGTTACTACCCAAATAATAATGCCATAGATCTAGAACATTTTGAATCGCTATGCAGGAGTTCCAAACGCTTATGCTAAATAAAAAATCCATTTACAAATCCAAAAAATGAACTTAATACATAGAAATAACACAACAAGCCTAATTTTAAAATATGAAGGTTGAACAAAAAAAGTAAGAGTATTTTAGTGAGAAATAATGTTTGTGCATGTAGATGGTAAGAGTTACAAATGAGGGATTAAGATCTCATAGACTTAAAAAATAATAAAAAATATTTATTTCAAATAACACTTAAAACATGAGATAATTTAATAAAGACATCTTCAAATTATATATTTTTGTATGTATGTATTTTTCTATGAAAAAAAAAAACTTAAATATATATTTACATAATTATAGCCTGCTTGCAGAGAATACCTTTTCATTCACATAAACATATACTTTTGAAATCACTATTTGCAAACTAATCTAATAAAGTTTGAAAATAAACTTTATAACGAAAATAAATTTGAAGTATAAAGGACTTAGTAAAATATGATATGAACTAATAATATTTAAAAAATATATATATTTTTAAGATAATGTATAGTCTTTTACATCAAAATATAAATAAAAGAAATTACATTTAAGGCTAAAAACATTAGTTACAGTGATAAAGAAGTAGCATATGTTTATAATAGCTATGGACGTGTATAATGAAGGAAATGATTTTTGTTGCATAAGAAATAAGGAGCATTCAGCTAACTCATGGATTATGGTCCACCCACATCGCAAGTGCCACAACAGAGTTTAAACAACGACATGCCAAGACTTGAAAAAATAAAAACTTCGCCAAAAAGAACTTTGTTAAAATCTAAAAAAATCTTACTAATCAAATTAGATTGAATTTTAGTTATTTATACAAGCAAGTAATTTTTCATATCCCCATGATTAGGACCTGAGAGGTTGTAGGTTTGGATCAAAACATTTGTCATGATAAAATCAAAGCATAGTTGAAAAAAAAACATATAATAAAGGAAATTNTTTATTCATCTGTCTTTTGATAAAATAACAACAGGACATAAGAAAGTAGACCAATAACGTAGACCTAAAAAATATTTTTAAGGACAGAAAAAAAAAATTCCGATTTCCGTCTTCGCGTCAGTCTTGTTTCCGGCCGCGGACATTTTCGAAAGACGGAAATCTGTCCTGGAGACGGAAGACTTGCACCCATGATCAAAACATTTGTCATGATAAAATCAAAACATAGTTGGAAAAAAAAACATATAATAAAAGAAATTTAATCAAATACGCATTCAAAAATCAAGTTATAACTTATTGTTTTAAAATTAATTCAAAATTAAATGCTTCAAGTTATTCATTTTTATTTTACTCATAACCCAATTCACTAAACCTATAAAAATGTTTAGAAACAATAACACCTAAATTTGCTTTGTTTGTAATCAAGTTTTCACTGTTCAGACTTACTTGAAAATAATGTGCTATTTGAGAAAAATTACATACAATCAACTTAAAAATAACCTTCACTATTTTTTTTAAATTTTTTATAGTGGGGTGGGGAACTTGTAAGTAGCATGCATATTTTTTTTTCTTTTGAAAGAGGCAATTTTCATTAAAAATTAAATACTTATTCAACAATCACAAATACATTATTTGAGCTAAAATTACATAGTCAATTTAAAATTATTTTCATTATTATTTTTTCAATGGGGGAGTAAATTGCTAGTGACAAGCATATTTTGTTCTTTTGAACGAGGCAATTTCCACCAAAGGTAAACCACTGAATCACTAATTTAACACTCACTTTTTGCATAAAATATCCTAAAAAAGTAATGAGCAATAAATATAGAACCATAAAAATAATCAATCCATGATGAAATACCTTTTCATTTCATCTATTAAGTTGATTTTTATAAGTTTGTTCTTGTTCATTTTTATCTCCAGATTTCAAATAAAAAGAATTTTTTAGATGCATTGTTATATTAATAGGTGAAAAGTCAGGAAAAATTACAAATGAACAAAATAATTTTAATAAAACAAAAATTAAATTAAATATTACTACTAGTTCACAATTAGTAATTATTCAGGGCAGTATAAAATTCTATTCATAAGTTCTTTTTGAAATAGTGTGATAATTTTCATTCATGCTTTATATATAATGTACATAAAACTTACATGTTTTAAATTCAAAAAATATTTTCTGATTTGTTTAATATAAATATTTCTGCTATAAATTTGATCCTTGTGGGTCCTCTTAAGCATATCTCTATTAGATTTTTTAATTTAAAAAAAAAGTTAGAAATAAATTATTAAGAAAAATTTTTTTTTAAAAAATTATGGTACGAAGAACGTTAAATATTCACTATTATGATGAAATCTGCAATTTTGCAACATTAATAGAAAGAAAAAAAAAGAAAGAAAGAAAGCAGGGAGAGAACTTATTAATTTATTAAACTTAGCATACTAACTTGTTAGAAAATTAAACTTTTAGAAGATAAGTTAAATAATTAATACTAGAGCTAATCATTAATAAATGGTTAAAGGAAATTTTAATAAAGCTAAATTACTCTAGGTGGTCCAATAATCATTCCAGTCCATTGAGTTAAGGTCATATCACTGTCGTCTTCCAAACCCCAACTAATAGTGCCATCTCCAACACCTTTCTGTCCTTGTTCTAGTTCTTCAAGAAGACGAAAATTTCGGGGTACTACAACACCTTAAAAAAATAGAATTATACACATCAATTATACAGTAAATACGAACAGCATCATGCATCCATACAAAAAAGCTATATAATTATGACGCTAAAAGAGCACCAAGCCATAATTAGATTATCTAGACTTTTTTTGTATAAAATAAGGGTAGCATTTTTAGCAGGATAAGGAATAACATTGATAATGCTGAAATTAGATTCTTATTTCTCAGTTTTAAATAATAAAAAAAAATTAATTCTAAAGAAACATTTCTAGTTTTTTTCTTTATAATTTATACTCAATGCAAAGAAACTCTTATTCTCAAGAATAATTAGTGTTTTTAATACAATTACCAATTCATATATTTTTATTTGAATATTTCACAAATACAATTTACTTAGGAAAGATTTTTTTTTTAACTATTTAAGGTACCTTTGTGAAAAAGCTCTGTGGAAGATAACTACCAACAATTTAAACTTTTGTGTTTATTAATTCTACAAAAAACTTAATAAATTCAAAAGTTAGAAGGATTGTAAAGTTTCCCAAAAGAAAGGTACCATTTACAGCCTCCTGATAGAGAATGAAATCTTAAGGAATTTTTTTGTCAAGAAATAAGTAAAAAATATATATATATATAGCTATAACATTTAATTATTTCTTTTAGTAAATATTGATTTTATATTTAATAACTATTAGCATTGGCAAGCTCTTAATCACACTTTTCATAATAAAATTTAACAAAAATAACTTTGATTACACCAATACAAATTAACTTTAATGTAATTTACTACTGATTGACAAATTACATTAAGCAGCTAATGATTTCAGCAATACTCTATGGTATGAATACTTGAGACTTTGGAATTAGTTAGTCTAGTCTTAACCAAAACAATTTTTTTTCCCTTTAAAACAAAAAATGTTTTAATTGTTCAATGTTAATCGAATAAAGTTGATGTCGCAATGTCAAGTGTTTCGACAATACACTGAAGCCCATAAGCAGAATATCTTCAAATTTTCTGCAACAGGACTTATTAATTATACAAATGTTATGCAAGCATTTCACGGCGTCAAAAAAAGTCAACTTTACGTTGAAATACTATATTTTCATTTATTAAAATGTAGGATCATACACAGATACGCTACATTATTTTTTAAACCAAAGCAAACATTCTTGATTTGTTACTTTTTCAAATATCATTTAAAAAAAAACTTGACTATCTGTATCTTAAATAAGTGACAGCCTTTTTGCAGGAAAACGCTGTCACTTATTCAAGATACAAATTGTTCTGCAGGACTTCGTTTGTTCTGCGACGTGCTTCACAGTTTTAGGCACTTTCTGCTTCTGGGCACTGAAGATTAAACTATTTAAGAGTACACCATAGCCTACTTATTTTATCAATAATAGGTAAGACCTTGCTTAGGATAATTAAATATTTTTATACAGTATAAACTTAAATAAAATCACTATTCTTAAAAACATTTGGTAAGAGGAAAATATAGACCTTTATTGTAATTGTTAAATGTTTATTCCTGTCAAAAGCATTGCTGTTAACAAGGTTTAGACTGCATATATACTTATTAATTTCCTTTCAACTTATTTACATTTAAGAACATTAATTAAAAAATAACTTACATGCTCACAAAAAATTATACATTACATTTAACAATCGAATCTAATTTATAATTCTTATTGACTCAAACCTTATTAACTACATTCCGCATAATTACATTAAATCTGAAAATACGTTTTACGGAAAGTATTTAAATAATAGTTGTATATAAATTTAGCAACTATTTTGTCCTATAAAAATAACGTTTACACTGAATATTGGTTCCATAACTAAAATTCATTTATTAGGAAGTGGATAAAATTGAAAAATTAAGAGTTGTCAACACTTAAGAATTAAAACATACAAATGCACTAAAATAATGCGGTATCATAATGAAATTTTAAAATTGGAAGAAAAACTGACAAACAAAAGTAGAAATCAGTTATAAAGAAAATATAGATTTAATTGTCGAATGTGCTAACTGAAATTATTATGTTTGATTCAAAATTTCGTGGAATATTTAAAAGAAACTGATGACAGGGACAATTAAGACATGTGAAATCTTCGATTCTAAGAAGTACAATGTCTAAACATTCAGTTTATTCTTGAGCCTATTTGAATTAGCAATACATCATTTATTTTATTTACATAAAAAGTTGAAACAATCCCAAATATTATTATTCTAATCATACCAGATCCGCCGGTGGGAGCCGCCATATTTAACTAAATATCAATCCCAAAAACGCATTGCAAGAAGAATGTTGTTGCCACTTTAAAAATAAAGTAAATTAAAGCAAAGGATCTCTGTGGTCGAGGCACCCGAGCATATCATTGAGGCGCATTCTCACTGACGTATGACAGGTAAAAATCGTAACTTTCGCGATGCATGATGGGAAATCTCGTGAATTTCAATTCAACTGAAACATTTACGTCGAAATGATAAATCGGTCTTATGGCTGTTAGTTCGTCTGACTTATGTAAAGTTATAAAACATTATTTTGAAGTATTCAGTCGTTGTGGTTGTAGTTTATTTACTGTGCACTAGAGCTGCGCAATGGGCTATTGGCGACGGTCTGGGAAACATGATCCCTGAGGATGATCCGAAGACATGCCATCACAATTTGGATCTTCTGCAGAGGGGATGGCACCCCCACTTCGGTTGCCCGACGATCTGCACTCGAAGCCGAGCACTTTACGGTAGAACAGTTTAACGAGGACCAATACCGCACACCCTCCCTACGCAGACTGATCCAAGTGGTCACCCACCAGCACAGCCAGCGATGCTTGACTACGGTGATCTGCTGGGAGCCGTGTATTAATGATCAGTCCACTGTGGGACGAAGTATTCAGTCATATGCGACAGTTTAAATTAACTCTACTGCTTCAGGAAATGCATCTCCCACTATACAATAAGCGAGCTATAAGCGCATCCAAGCAGAGAGCTCCAAAACAACCCGTCAATCATCATCATCAAGAAAAGCGTAACGTAATTTAAAAGCTCTTCAAATGAAAGATGAATATCTTGAAATATTCAATATTATATGTAGATATATAGAAAATTTTATTTTGTTTACAAATATGTTCTAATTTAAGGCGTATTGACGCAGAATGTGATCAACGTACTTTCAATCATTGTCGAGAGGAAAGGCTCATCAACTTAGGTTCTCATTTTTTCTCGATAGCAGTCAGGGGTGTGTTAAATGTTAACTGTGATAATGTTCCTTAAAGACACAAAAATAGTGCATGCTGAAAACTCGTGTGTGAATTCAGAGATGTAAACACGACTTTATTAGTGAAATGCTAAACTTTGAAAAAATCTTCCAAACATTTTCTCAATGGCATCTTTGGAATCGCATATGCTGTTTTTTATAATGCAGTATGAATGCTCTCTTAAGTTAAGGATAAGCTGATATTTTGTGAAAGTTTCCTCAACTTTTTAAAACCTGTCCCAACATTCTGGACATCAGTTGTGTTGAAGTAGGCAACCGATAACGTAACCAACGCTCATGGCAAATGTGTACTAATTTGTTGAAAAATTCTTTGCTGAGATAAACTATATCAAAACATACTTTCTTACTTAGACCGAAAACGACTTTAATTAACCCTATTTGTATAAAGAAAAACTTTAAAAAAAAGTGTTTTTGATTTGCCCCTACTTGGATGAAATTTGTAAGCCTGCTCATCCATAATTTTACAAATGTAAAGTGAATTATCATCTTAGTAATGGAAAAAATATTGAAAGTGCTTTAAAAGGTTATTTCCATGCAGATATAATTCATATATTATCCTCTTTATACAGAAAGAAAAATCAATGTGAATGATAAAATATCTTCTTCCTGACAGCAAATAAAATTCCTATTGTGTATTATATATCTTTTTTTTAAAAGATTGTGTTTTCTGCATGATTCATATAATCAATAAACTAATCATTAAGTGTGTAATTTCTTTCTTGCGAAAGAAAACATTATTATTGAAGGCAATCTTATTCTATGTTGGCAGTAACATTCTAATCACTAAAATTCATACTGGTGAAAAACCTTATTCTTGTTGTATATAAAATAAGGATTTTTCACAAAAAAGTAATCTAACAAAACATTGTCGTGCTCATACTATTGATATTGAGAAGTGTAATAAGAGTTCTTGTCAAAGTGAGCTTCTGAATAACAAAGTTGTGTTCATACAGGGGAGAAACATTGTTATTGTGGTATATGTAATAAATTTTTTCAGATAAAAGTAAGATGACTAAACACAGTCGTACCCATACTGGTGAGAAACTTTATTCTTGCAGTTTATGCAATAAGAGTTTTTCCCAAAAAAATTATTTAATGAAACACTATCTTGTTCATACTGAGGAGAAGCCTTATTCTTGTAGTATATGTAATAAAAGTTTTTCACAAAAAGGACATCTCACTACACACGGCCGTGTTCATACTGGTGAGAAGCCTTATTCTTGTAGTATATGTAATAAGAGTTTTTCAAGGGGAAGGACTCTGAATGTGCACTATCGTGTTCATACTGGGGAGAAACCTTATTCGTGTAGTATATGTAATAAAAGTTTTTCACTAAAAGGTAATCTGAAAAAACACAGTCATATTCATACTAGTGAGAAGCCATATTCTTGTAGTATATGCAATAAAAGTTTTTCACAAAAAAGACATCTCACTGCACACTATTGTGTTCATGCTGGTGAGAAGCCTTATTCTTGTAATATATGTAATAAGAGTTTTTTACTCAAAGGTAATCTCACTAGTCACAATCTTGTTCATATTGGTGATAAGCCTTATTCTTGTAGTATATGCAATAAGAGTTTTTCACGAAAAGCTAATCTCACTCGACACAAACGTGTTCATACAGGTGAGAAGCCTTATTCTTGTATTATATGTGATAAAAAATTTTCAGAAAGAAGGAATCTGAATGAACACTGTCGTATTCATACTGGTGAGAAGCCTTATTCTTGTAGTATATGTAATAAAAGTTTTTCACGAAAAACACATCTCACTACACACTGTTGTGTTCATGCTGGTGAGAAGCCTTGTTCTTGTAGTATATGTAATAAAAGTTTTTCACAAAAAAGTAATCTCACTACAAACAGTCGTGTTCACACTGGTAAGAAGCCTTATTCTTATAGTATATGTAATAAGAGTTTTTTACTCAAAGGTAATGTCACTAGTCACAATCTTGTTCATACTGGTGATAAGCCTTATTCTTGTAGTATATGCAATAAGAGTTTTTCACAAAAAGCTAATCTCACTCGACACAATCGTGTTCATACTGGTGAGAAGCCTTATTCTTGTAGTATATGTGATAAACGTTTTTCACGAAAAAGACATCTCACTGCACACTGTTGTGTTCATGTTGGTGAGAAGGCTTATTCTTGTAGTATATGTAATAAAAGTTTTTCACAAAAAGGTAATCTCACTACACACTGTCATATTCATACTGCTGAGAAACCTTATTCTCGTAGTATATGTAATAAAAGTTTTTCACAAAAAAGACATCTCACTGCACACTGTTGTGTTCATGTTGGTGAGAAGGCTTATTCTTGTAGTATATGTAATAAAAGTTTTTCACAAAAAGGTAATCTCACTACACACTGTCATATTCATACTGGTGAGAAGCCTTATTCTTGTAGTATATGTAATAAAAGTTTTTCACAAAAAGGTAATCTTACTGCACACAGTCGTGTTCACACTGGTGAGAAGCCTTATTCTTGTAGTATATGTAATAAGAGTTTTTCACAAAAAGCTAATCTCACTCGACACAATCGTGTTCATATTGGGTGAGAAGCCTTATTTATGTAGTATATGAAATAAGAGTTTCACAGAAAGAGTGAGAAGCCTTGTTCTTTTATCATATGTTATAAAAATTTTACACAAAAATTTTGTCTGACAAAACACAATCATGCTCATGCTGGTGAGAAACATTATTCTTGTAATATATGTAAATATGTAACAAGAGTTTTTTGGTAGTTTGACTCACCATAGTGGTAAGAAACCTTACTCTTGTACTATATGTAATAAAGCTTTTTCAAGAAAGAATTATATTTAATTAGTCGCAGTCATGTTCACGCTATTTAAAAGCCATATTTTTGTTTATGTTAATAGTTTTCTTTTTTTTCACTTAAGGTCCATCTAATTTATTGTAGTCTTATTCATACTGGTGAGAAACCTCATTCTTTTAATATATATATATTTTTAAAAGCTGACTTTACTGTTTGTGTTTTCAGTGGTGAGAAACCTTTTTGTCAGGGGCTGATTATCGCCGAGGCCCAATAAGCACAGGCCTAGGGCCCACACTATCTGGGGTCCCTCAAAAATTAGTAAAAAAAAACCTATAATACTGTTTTTTTTTTTAATACTGAAAGAAACAGCTTTTCTCAAGCAAATGCATTTTTTTATTTAAAATTTTCTTTATATTGTGATAAACCAAACTCGTGTAAACATTGCACAAATCAAATTCGAATGTACAGCTAAATTTGAATTGGTGCAATTTTTACGTCAACGGCATAAGTGAATATGAATTTTAATTTTTTAAAAGTGTTATATTTAAATAAATTAATAGTTACATGTGTTTTTAATTTTCTATGAGTAGATATAATTTTGGCACTTTTGGATATTTTTTTAGTGTATTTTAAAATAAAATTTGTAATTAATAACCTTAGTATCAGTGTATATCTTAGTATCAGTGGTATTAATATCTTAGTATCAGTAGTGCAAGTGCTGCGCCAATTGTGGAAGCCTGCTCCAAATTGAAGGAATTGGCTTAAATTGCGCTAATCTACGCCAAAAAGGATATTTTTCCCTGGGTATCACCAAGTCACAATTTTGCAGCAACCAAGCTTCTGCCATGTGGTGGGTTGCTCTGGATTCAGTGGGAAGGATTCTTGCACTCTCATATGCAACTCTGCTTCATTTTGCATATTCTCAATTTCAGGCTTCATTTTCCACTCTCTGAAATGAAACCGAAACTTCTCTCTTCACTCGACCAACTAAACATTGCCAAATTTTAATAGCAAAAGAAAATGTTATTTCTCTTGTTAATTTCGTCGTTATTGAAGTGCCATCGTCTTCGTCAATGGCAAGCTAATGGCCTTCTTGCGCTTTTCTATTTATAGATTAGTACCATGGTTTTTAAATTAACTTGAGGGACCATTGACTAAGTACATATTTTCATATTGACCCTCAGAGCAGTGAAGAACCACAAAGCTTCATATACCTCAAAATTTCCATCTCCCTTTTATTCATTTAATTTAATAAAGATAAGAATTAATTGAGTTTTAAATAAGTATGAAGAGAGGGGCTTTCAGCAAAAAATCTTATGTTTTTCAGATTTGTCATTCAAAAATATTTTAATTCATCTCTTAATTGATTTGATTTAAAACAATTGATATAAAAATTTTTAATTATCACAAATATGCTAAATATTTTGAGTGTAGGGACAATATAATAATTTACTTCTGACAAAAATTACTCATTGTATTTGCATTAAAAATTATTTTTTTTTTTTTTTAATCATTTCACTAATGAAATACTGTACTAGGTAACCAATTTTAATAAAAATTTATTAGGGGCCATTTACTAATTTATATTTGTAATATAAATTTATTAAAGTTTTCTTAATTTGTTTAATTCTTTACATATTTTTATAAATTCAGTATGTATATTAATCCTGTTAATGTTTTGTTGAATTTACTATTACAAATAACATTTATTTAAAATTTAAGAAAAATGCACTCCATAACCTTAAATAATAGTTAAATTAATTAGAGTTTTAAATTACCTTTTACAGAATTAAATAAAGTAATTGTTAATTTAAAAAATAGTATGAGCCACTCAATATTGAATTTATTTAAATTGCTTTTGCCAAAAGCTCTTTTTTAAGAAATATTTCGGCTATATTAAATAAATTTTTAGATCTTTTCCAAACTGAGACACCATTGATTCACTTGCTGTATGATGAAATGGTGTCTCTAGTTAAAGTATTGTTAGGACGTTTTTTTGAAGAGTTATGCTTTTCTTAGTTTGTCAGAAAAGGACTTAAAATCAATGGATTTAGAAAATGCAGATATTTGGCGAAATTCAAATTTAATAGATGTTGGAGTAGATACCACAAAGGCGATGACGTCCTTATCTTCTTCAGAGGAAAAATCTATGTATTTAGGTTCAGGTCTTTTTACTTGGCATGCGCAAAAAAGTTTTTAAAAGCATTGTCTCTTGAAAATAGGTTACTGTACCATCTTAAAGTGTTGCATTTTGTAATGCAACACTTTGTGAGCGAAACGCTACTTGACAATAGGGCAAGTTTAAATTCGCATGGTGTTAATGGTTTGAAACAAGTTGTCACATATTAATAAAGTAGGGGGTTTAAATAACTTTAAAGTGGACAACAATATGATTAAAGTGGCACACTTCTATTAAGTCAATAAGATATCTGGCAACAGTAACCCCATCCATTATAAAACCTGAAGAGGCATCTTTGTTACTAGATGAATGGATGAGGTTACATGGGAAACCAGAAGGTTATTCTTCTAAGTCAAATGAATATGCACCAATTGGTGTGTTTTGGAAAAACTATTTCGTGAAGAGAGATAATTTTCGAAGCATCAAATATCCTTTTGTAATAAAGCTCTTTTGTGCAAACATAAGCAATTTTGTGCAAACTTTCAACATCAACATACCACATGTTGATGTTGAAAGAGGTTTTAGTGTGAGCGAAACGCTACTTGACAATAGGGCAAGTTGTGTCACATATTAACAAAGTAGGGGGTTTAAATAACTTTAAAGTGGACAACAATATGATTAAAGTGGCACGTGCAGCATTTAAAAATTATTCTGCTCGATTATAGGTTGAGGAAAAAGAATGTGAAAACACTGAAACTGAGGAAAGCAGATTGAAATTGATTTGCAAAAAAAATATAAGGCTTCTTATGATCTCTTAGCCACAGCTGAAAAAATTATGAGAGATGGGTTAAATAATAAAGACATGTTGATTATAGAAAGCGGACAGATCCTCTTATCTGAGGCTAAGTCGAGGATAGCAGAGTATTTAACAGCATTGGAGGATAGCAAAAAGAAACTTAATTTGTTAATGCAGGGGCCTTCATAAAAGTGTAAAAAATAAGATATGTTATTAATGAACAAAATTAAAAATTCTTGTTATTAAATTCTTATTTTAATTCTTTTTATTAACTATGCTCCAAATCTTTGTTTCACTGCTCCAAAATTGCTTTTTTGTTGCTCCAAAGATGCTCCCAAACCATGTTTTGCCTCTCTCTAGTATACATGCTGAACTTATCGTTAAATCTAATGAAAAGTCATCTAGCTTTGTGTTGGTTTAAGATCTAAATAAAGTAATAATTACAGCTTACAATAAAAAACAATCTAGCTAATTAGTGACTTTTAGCAATGTTCACTGATTTCAATTGTTTGTGGTCACCAAACTATTTTTATTTTGGCACAACATTGTTTTGTTGTTTTATATTTTGCTTTAATATACAGTTGCGTAAACTTTATCTTAGAAAAATAATCTTCAATTGTCTGTTTTCAAAATTTCTTAGAATGTTTCTCTTGAATCATGCAGTTTCATCAATTCCTTTTTTACTATTAGGGCTATTCTTCAGAAATATAACTTCAAAATATTTTGTAAGGGGCCCGGAAAATTTGGTGGGCCTTGGGTCTGAATTTCTCTTGATCGGTTCCAGAGTATAATGGAATGAGAGTTTTTCTCAGGAATGTCATCTGACTAAATACAGTATTGTTTATACTATTGACCAGGGTTGGCAAGATTTTGCCGCAGGTGGAAAAAACCATGGTAAAAACCAGTTACAAAACCTGTTTTTGCCAATTTGCTGGCAAAAACAGGTTTTTGCCAAGCAAATTGGCAAAAAGTGGCAAAAACTTATATTTTCCCAGATGAGGACAAAAACTCATTTTTGGTACAAAATTATTCCTAAAATTGAAATATATACTATAACTATAAATAATTACAAAAAAATTAACAAAATTATTATTCCATAATTAAATCATAATTTAATAATATATCATTTTAGTAGTTTAAAGCATTATTGATTGGAAAATTTGCGATTATTCTCTTTTCCAGTGAAATGAACTTATTTTAAATTAATATAACTATAATTTAAAGCATAAAATATCTATCAAGATGTGTAGTTAATTATTGTACAAATAATAATTTTTTATAATATAGTAATAATAATACTATACAAATAATACTATTTATTTATTTGTAAAAAAAAACATTTATTTAAGGATTCTAAAATGAAAAGAGGTCAAAAACTTTCAATGTTTTAAAAATTATTGCCTTTATATTTAATATGTTAAAAATAATTTTTTCATGTAATGTATCAAAATAATAATGTTTTAAAAATTATTGCCTTTATATTTAGTATGTTAAAAATAATTTTTTCATGTAATGTATCAAAATTATTATTCCTTATGATTGATTTAAATTTGTTTCAAGTTTTTTGTAATAATATCTAATTAGCAATTTAGATAATTTGGTTTTTGCCGGTTTTTGCCACTGTCCTGGCAAAAACCCATTTCTAGCAACTTTTATTAAAATTATTTGTAACATCTTTTATTTACAAATAAATCTTTTCTAACGCATGTTGTACAATTGCTTTTATAAAAGTAGCTGTTGTAATTTTATTACTAAATGTTTTTTTCTTTTAAAAAACAAGTGGGTAAAAACACAAATTAATATCTAAAATTACTTTTGGTATTAATATTTGTAATAAAAATTTCACTAATTGAGAAAAAATTAAAGTTATATTAGATGAATAAGCCGCAAAAGTTGAATGTCTGTTATTGTTAAGTAAATGTTAATAATCAATAGAAATTTATATTTTTTTTAAGTTTTCAATTTTTGCAGATTAGCAAAAATTAGTTATTAAATATGATTTTTAAGTCAGTTATCTTAGATACATAAAATAACTTGTATATAACACTTAGGCTACCGGGATAAATATATTTCTCACAAAAAAGATCAATAATATTTAACCAATTTTAAAACCTACTGATTC